CTACATCTAAACATAATTGAATTTAGGATCAAGTTTCATCTAACGTTGCTTGTGATTGTTAAAACAACCAGTGTGAGGGTTATTCCCCTTTGCAGTAAACCAATTTCGAAGCGGCCAATATGGGTGTAGTAGATATGGTGGCTTACGTATCATAAAAATCTTTTGAAGTCCATCAGCTTTCGAAACAAAAAGTATGTGGGTTTTTGTTATTAATTGGTATTTCATCCATTTCTAGGCGTTAACAAGAACGTGTTCCAGTAACATTGGACAATTCTCCCCTTTTGTTATTCAAATCAATTAAGGAAAGCTAAATTGATTAAAACACAGCTTAATAAAATGAACAATCGACAGAAATCATTTGTAATGCTGCTCTATAGCAAACTGTAAACTAATTGTTAGTACGAACCAATGCAACTATGAACGTTACTACGGTATTCCCCCCGACGCAAACATGGAGTTATTGATTCTCACTGGTACATAGGATTGGAACTTGCTTAATCCGATAATTTATTTAAAATAAATTATAAATAAGCTCTGACAATTACCTGAAAACGTGGTTATTTGACTGAAAAAGTAGCAGTCCAGGGAACACAAAACGACTGTATTTTTACCGTGTTCAAAACGTATATCCGTAAGTTTGCGTTTTCAATGAAATCCGAATGTTTTAAAGGCTTTGCTGATACAAGTGCGTTTTTCACACACCTAATAATATTTCACCTACCGCTTTTCCTAATGTTGATGCACGTTGCAGTCAAAATTTTGTTCGCTTTCATTAATACCATGCAACTAATTAAAATAAATTATGCTAAGTTTCTTAAGTAGTTTTTGGCATCCAGACTACCGTATTTAGTACCGCACTGAAACATACGGCCTGTCTTTTAAGTTGCTTTTAACATTGCATTTCGGGCTCGACGATTTTGTTGGCAAGCATTAGTGCAGGTTTATGAATCCTAGCGCTCTCTTGACATGTACGATTTTAATCATCTAACATTCCTGAGCTAGCGGCCAAAGATGACTTCTGGAAAAACACTCTCTATAGTCACCAAACAATAAATACAACAGTCTACATATAGCACGTTCATCCCTTCAATGTAAAACACGCGGAAATGTCAATTGCACTTAATATTTTCCAATCTTATACAGTAGCTTTTAAGTACACAATTGAGTGCGTTATCTGAATATCGATGTGATCACCTGCACTAAGTGCAACAATTTCACAGCAACGAGGAAACTATTTAATACTTATCTTGACATTTTGAGAGCATAATATTGTGATAAAAGTTTGCTTACCCACAAAAGTCTTACGTATAAATCAGTTCTACCAAAGCGCACGGGCCCGACTGAAGTTGCGTTTTACATTAAAAAATAGTGGAAAACGTTAATTTATACATTTAAGATGCTTTTAAATTTGCAGCATTTCGGTATATCTGGGTCAGTGATTGCTATAGAGCAGGTTAACGCTGCCAATAATCAGCCTTATAAAATGCTGCCACTTTCTGTTACAATTCAGTGTGACAATTGGTTCCTAACAATTGCACGGTTACGGTCCCTTCCATTGACGCCAAACAAAAATTTAATCTCTAGGCAAAATATGGTTCGATAATGATCGCAGGACGTAGATTTTATGAGGTAGGATTGGTTGGAATAGTTAATAAATTCTGGGTTTTACCCTCAGACTTACCACCAAACTACCTTCATCGCAAGCAGCTTCAATAATATCAAATATCTAGTGGGTGTCTATTCATATTGAATTAGTGAAAATGGAGACTGATATTGGCATAAGATGTTCTAGGTGGGCCAGTAACGATTTTCAAATCCCTTATTCAATCTCATGATTAAAAAAGATTGATAGTGATTCGTCTTTCTTTTTAAAGGATAATATTGTCTGAAACACGTGAATTCGCAATCAATTATTGCTGGCTTTTATTTGCCGACAAGAGATTAAATCAACTAATGAAAACACGGCGACTCTGCACGATAAAAACAACAAAGCCGTCTGTTTTTATGATGTAATCAGTATTCATGTTCGATTAGGTTGTCCATGAAGATACGCACTTTCCTGGGCTTCCTTTGTTAAACGAGCCGTAGAGCTACGACTTCGAGTGAGAATCCTAAGTGATCAGTTGACGAAAATCCGCTTAACATGTTTAAACAGCTGCTCATTTGCTCTGGCGCTGGGACTTCGGTAGCTATTTGGCAGTCTTCGCAGATTGTACAAATTGCCGACAGCTAGTCATACTCCATCTGGAAATGTTTACACTAGTTGTAAATTCACCGAGATAGTAATTTAAGGTTTAATATTAGTCACCAAACCATGATAGCTAGTTGCATATGCGGTCACTCTGAGGCTTGTACTCGCACCTACCAGTTCACTGGTATTTCAAAGTCAACTGTTTACCTACCTGAGCTGAAGTGTCAACCTTCAGTTGACTAAGCACAGGCGTATGATTTGGAATATTTATGATCGCCGTTGGTCTGATACGAATCCATATTGACATTTTAAGAACAACGCTGGATAGTAAACCGATAGGTTTTAAATCATAATGCGCAGAGCAACGCTTAGTGGGGTGGTAGCAGATACACGCGAACTGGTCATTATAACGTTTACGACTGTCTCGGAAACTCAGCTTAATCACTTACTTCGGTCCGTTTTCGACCGGATTCGTATAATTTGCACCATCGTTATCGAGGTAAGTCGGAGACGGGAAACGTCAGTTCCAGATTTGCTCCTGACACTTTCCTTAATACAAGGCTTAATATTTTAGCATACAATTGCCGGCTAGAATAGGCCTACGCGTTTATGGCACATTTAAAACATTTTTAAATAGATCCTGCATCAGCGGTTTTAATTCAACAACGCAAATGAGTCTTTCTAAGAGGACGTACCTACTATTCCAGTGAATGTATTTTCAACGATTCTGCTTTATCTGCTCCCTGTTATTATTAAACCAGAAGTCTATGTTCCTTTCGCTACAATAAAAATAGATTAGGACAGCCTAAAAGACTGGTGTGAGTATTTGGTCTGTGTTGCTTCCAAAATTGCCACATTATTAGGAGCCAACGACCAATAAGAACATAGTATAATGCACAACTGATCATTCTAAAATTATTAATATTGTAACCTGAATATTGGACATCCAAGTTGGATAACTCCTACCGTCGGCATTTCTGACCGAACCCCAGAAGTGGGCTTCAGCAAAAACTTTGTGAATAAGTAGGCATGACAGAGATTCATCTTAGAACATAGTCAAAACAGATGTTCGGTACATGCAGAAGGTGAACGAAAAATCGCTTTTAAAGGATAAATATAGTATGCGAATTTCCTAATAATTTACGCAGCTGAAAGAACTTCAT